GTCCCCAGAACATTACCTGGGACTCTGCGTTAACAGCCCAGCGATAACACCACTACCCTGTCACCTCCCCCGACTATTGAATGGTGAGCAATATGGCACCACCTCTCCCATTGCTTGGTGTGGTTCTGCCGCTGGTTTTGATGAGTAGAGGATAGATTGCAGTGGGCCTAAAACTGGGCTCTGAGAGCTGTAGCTGCAGAACTGTACAACCTCATAATCTGTAACCTGGTGGCCCTCACTCCCCGATCACCAACAACCGAGGATATTAACCCTGCTACAATGTAAGTGCAGATGAGGGGCCATTAGCAGCATATTGTTGGATTATATGGATCTCCAGGGTCACCAGCTGTGAGCAAATGGACTCCTTGAGGTTTCACAACATGACTTGCCCCGACTGTTCAGCCATTTGCTGGCCAGTAGATCCATCCTTGTGACTTGCTGTTTTGATCCACCAATTGGAAAGCATAATCAATCATTTTGTAAATGACAGTCAGCCAATCAGCCTTTATTACCATTCACCATATTTTTATATCTAATCAACAGATACTTTCAAGAAATATGGCATCAAAGCAAAAACACCATCATTTTGACTGTCGCTGTCTTATTTTTCTAGGATCACACTCGGCAGTGACCGAGAGATTGATTCTCAATTCCTGGAGAATCCAGTCTAAACCTGGAGCATCAGCAATCCCTGTATTGCCCCCAGTTTAGTGAGGCTATTGGGCACAGTTCTGATCATCAAAAGCAGCGAGGTATTCACCCATTGTTCAGCATTCAGCAGAACAAAGACCTTTTGTATCGAGTCAAGAATGGTGGTGGATAGGCAAACAGAGGAGCTGTCTGTCAAAATGTTGCCATCCTTTGGTACAAGAGCCCAGCACATGAATAGACATCCCCTCAGTCACTGTACACAGAGAGATTTGGAGGACGGTGGGAGAATGTTGGAAAGTGTGGACTGGTTCGCTTTGGCAGGAATGAGTACAAAACAGGGTATTGTTTAAATGGAAAGAAATTGCAGAACTCTGAGGTTCACAGGGAGCTGGGTGTCCTGGTACATTCATCACAAGATGTTAGTATGCAGGTACGTGTGAGGCAATGCATTTAGGGAGGTCAAACAGTAAAGGGGAATATCCAATAAACAGAAATATACTGAGCAGGGTAGATGAAGGGAGAGATCTTGGCGTACAAGTGCACAGGTCCCAAAAGGTAGCAGTACAGGTAGGTAAGGTTGTAAAGAAGGCATATGGAATGCTCTCCTTTATTGGCAGAGGTACAGAATACAAAAGGAAGGATACAATGCTGAAATGTATAAGTCACTGGTGAGAAAAAACATTTTTACACAGAGCCTGGTGGGTGAATGGAATTCACTGCCGGAGTTGATGGTGGAAGCACAGACCCTAAACTCTTTTGAGAAGAAACTGGATCTGCACCTTAAATGCTGTCGGCTGTAAGATTATGGGAGTGTGCAAGAGAATGGGAGTACAAAGTACATCTGGATATCTTTGGGTCGGCCTGGACAAGATAGCCAGAATGTCTCCCACCTTCTGTGCTGTTTTGTTTCTCTGGTTCTTGGCACAGTAACTATGTTGGAAGGCAAATGGAATGGTATTGTTCATTGGAAGGGGGATGGGGATGGGGATGGAATATGAAAAATGGTTGTACAGGACATTGAAGAGACTGCAGCCAGATGCCTGAAGGAAGTTTTCGTCAACTTGTGCAATACAGCACAGGAACAGGCCCTTTGACCCAACAAGCCTATGCTGATTCCTAGTCCTTTTTTAGACTCACTACCTATTGCCTATGCATGGTTTCTATCCCTTTGTTCACCTCCCATTCACATGTCTACCACGAAATGCCTTACCTGTTGCTAATGTGCCCACTTCCACCACCTCCACTGGCAGTGCATTCCAGGCACCCACCACCCTGTGTGTGGAAAGTCTTCCCCACGCTTCTCCCCTAAACTTTCCCCCCCTCCCCTTGACCTGGGTTTAATGAATGATACAAGTGTAGTTCGGTGAATGTTCACTCCAAGGATTCATGGACCGAGGAGATTATTTGATGGGTAACGGTTGGACAGGCTAAACGTGCCTTCATTCGAGTTTAGAAAAATGAGAGGTGATCGTATTGAGGCATGAAGAGGCTGAGGAGACTAGACAGGACAGACACTGAAAGGATGTTTCACCTCATAGGAAAGACTAGGACAAGGGGACAGTATTAAAATAAGGGGAGGAAAAATGTTTTTTCTCTTGGAGGGTTGACAGTCCATGGAACTCTCTTCAGGGAAAGGTGGAGGTGAGGAAGTAGAGTCTGCAAACAGTTTCAAAATGGAGGGGGAGTGATTCTGGAATAACAAGGGAGAGACAGCATCAGGGCTGAGCAGGAAACAAGTAGAAACTACAAGCAGATCAGCAAATATCTGATGGTGCACCTGGCTTACACCTGCTCCTAATGAACATGTTCACATTTGTCTGTATTTGAGGTGGAAAAGCTAAGGCACAAGCACTCGTAGTCAATGGGAGGATGTGGAGTGATGCAGAGGAAAAGAGCAGCCGTGACATACAGTTTCACCTCATCCCTGAGCGTGGTGGGAAAAAAAACACAAAGGGCTCACTATGTGTAGTTTGTTCTTGTCAGTTCAATATCCAATACATCTCCTTCTTGAGTAACCACACAGCAAATTGATTTTTGGGAGAAGGGGTTTGCTCTGTGTATCCCATGCATCAACCTGGCATTGCAGTATCTCTGGGCACTTCCTCCAGCTGGGAATCAGGGCAGATGATCCAGCTGCCCCGACCCTGGGAGCAGGGCCAGGCCATTGAGACCAGAGCATCCTCTGCAGCTCAGTACAATCATGGCTGATCCTCGGTTGGCATCAACTCCATAAACACTCCAACCAAATAGTAAATTAATTCACTGTCCCAGCATGCACTGCAATCTGTGTAGCAAGAGATTCATAATCGTCAAGACTGGGAACTTATTTTATTGTCTTCAGAAATGGGGTAGCACGTTTTAGTACTAACTTATCCTAGATTATTTCCGAGATAGTAAGAACTGCTGATGGTGGAGTCAGATAAGGGTTGAGCTGGAGGAGCACAGGGGGCCAGGCAGCACCAGAGGAGCAGGATAGTTGATGTTTCAAGTTGGGAACCATTCTTCAGAAATGGGGAAGGGAAGCTCTGAAATAAATTGAGAGGAGGGATGGCTGGGGAAAGGTAATTGGGATGGTGATAGATAACTACAGGTAGGCAGGGGTGGGGATTGGTCAGTGAGGTGGTGGGGGAAGAAAGGCCCAGAATGGACATGTCATCCAGGGAGTGGGAGCAGGAGCGGGAGGGCCTTCCCTTCATTGAAGATTGATTCATGTTGTAGGACCTCCATCTTACAGTATTGCTTGGCAAGAGAGACCCAAAAACAAAAAAGCCAGCAGACGCAATGTTGAAGTATTTGTTCTCTCAGTGTTAATTTTTCCAACCTTCCAAAAGAGGAAAGGAACAAGGAACCATAACTATCACAGCCTGATCTCGTCAGGAAGGTGGATGGAGAATAGCAAAAAGAGAATGCAGTTCATGGCACAAATGCCATAACTAGACCTAGAAAACATTTCATTGGCAGCTATTACTATTTACTGATGGGGGTACCATGTACGGGGCAGACTTGGTCTACAATAACTAAAATTAAATGAAGCACTACAAAAAGAGCTGAAGTAAGGTATTAAACAAGAACCAGGAGCATTCGGCAACAGTCAAGCCACAAAAGAGGGTGGAGAGGAGAAATCAGAACAAAGCCTCAGGAAGGTCAGGTTTCTCTATTCCTCCTGGTTCTCACTTGAAGGAGGCTTCCATGAGCCCATTGGAGAAATGAATCCTTTGCCAGGAAGTGACTGCTGCATGGAGCGAGTGAAGCCACTGCACTAGTTTGCAGTGTGTGAAAGACAGGACAGACATTAGCCAGAGGAGAAACAATAAACACAATTGGCCATTAAGCATTGGATGGAAGAGCACACCCAATGATCACGGCTGAGCATTCAGCTCAGGATCCAGCTCCCACTTTCTTCCTCTGCCCTTTAGCCTAAAGAACATCTGATGTCAAACAGTGTGGTCTCACCTGCTGTTATGCAGGATTCTACAGGCTCACCATTCTGGCAGACACACTTTCTCCCCTCACCCCACCCAATCTTCATCCTAAGTGATGAATCCCACCTGTTTCTGGGAGTGACCTTTGCTTTTAGCACCAGAAATATGAAGACTAAATGTAGGGACAAATGGTGAGCACAAAGTTCAAACAGCCGTATGCATAAACCAATGGAAGAATTCAGATCATTTGGTCACACTGGCTTAGTGCTATTGAGCAACAAACTGAAACTGCAGGCTAGTTACCATTACAGCTGGTGTTTCGGCGTGTGGGTACAAAATGGAAAGTGTTTGTCAATCGGTGTTGAGCATTCATCTCGTGTAGGTCCTGAAATTCCCGTGATGCTGAAAGGGGCAGGATGTTCTCATCTAAGACTTCAAAGAGGCAGCCATGCAAGACCTGGGATTGGGGTGGCAGGTGATGTTGGCATGGCCATGTGATTAGTTGGCAGAAAGAATGTTGGGCAGAGACCACATGCTCCAGCAGTGGTCTCACCCATTTACAGTTTGTAGACAAGGGTCCAGAGAGGAAGGTAGTCAAAATCCACAGGTTGGACAACAAGTTACAACAGACTAAGAAAGGGACAGAATTTGCTGAGTGGGTAATGGCCTGGAAATTATTCCGCCTTCATATTCTAGCAGTTTTAGGAAAAGTTAACCGAGAGGCAAGGATGTCACCATTCACCTGCACCAACCATAGAACATGTTGCTGCAAGATCAGGACAAGGCTGGGGAATTCTGCAGTCGAGTAACTCCAAGCCACTCACCATTTGGTCTGACAACTAATTGCTGTCCCTTGCGTTGATGATTCAGAATTCAAACTCCCTTCTGCAGAGACTGGAAAGTTTAGTTACAGACACGCACCAGGGGCATGTTTCTGTCTGGTTTATTTGTATTCAAGGGCTACAGTTCAATCTCATGACACTGGGCACAGACAGGGCGGAGTTCTTCATTCTGTACACTGCAGCCATCACCACCAACAGGAACACCAGAAACCCAATGGCGACTCCAACCACAACAGGAGATCCAGCAGCACCTATTGGGAGATGGAAGGTGTTGAGACATTGGAAAGGTGCTCAATGAACTACAGCAGAAACATCACTTACCATTCTCATTCAGCAGCTGTTTAGACTGGCTGTTCTCCTGCAACAGGAACACAACAGGACCAGGAGCACTTACCAAGGTCCCCTCATGGAGGGGAGCACTCCTGCGTGACCCTATTTGGGGGGAAAGAGGGACATTACATAGATAATTAGAAACCATGTTGAGACAACAGCCAGGATGCTGTAACCTTGCTAACTGGATATAGGGGACATTCAAGATCAGGGACAGAGGGGTGGATTTCAGCTCAATAGAAAGCATCAAGGAACTCACTTGGACCACATCTGGTTATACAGTCATCCTGAGCAGAGGGAGAGCAAACCTCAGCACTGCAGTGCAGGTAAACCTAGGAAGGAATTTACACCCAAGTGAGCATTTTGTAGCTGGACCCCCAGGGTGTCATACAGACAACCAGCAAGAGGATTTCATGAGGTTGGTCTCAATTCCATCAGTTTGGTTACCTGTCCAGAGAGGGGCTGCTCAGACACTCCATCCAAGAAAACAAAGGTCTTCACTTCAAACCGCTTGTGATGGCCTGGGAACTGCAGGCCAGAAGAGGCATCTACTGGGTGTAGCACGGTCAGGTAGTCATCACCCTCATAGGGGCACCTGAAACAACAGCTGGTCAGTTGCTCAACAGTTCCAAAACAGCTCCAGAAAAGAACAAAACTACAGAACATGCAATGGCAGGTGAGTTTTGGGGAAGGACAACAAGAAGGAATTATAGTTGCCAAGAAAAACAAATCAGAAGCTGATGGCCCCCAGGAAGTAAACAGACTTGGTCTTTGGAGTCTTGATCAGTCTGTTCGGTTGCAGACTTCTCCAAAAACCAGAGTACGTTGCGATCAGTTAGATGTGCAGAGAGGAAAGAGGTCAGCAGGCCAGACTGACCAGAAAGTACTGAAAGATTAGGGTAAGAGTCCTTATTGTAATCCAAACAGAGCAAACACTGGTGATTGGAGGACACATTAAACAGTATTCCCCTTAACTCAATCCCTGGGAGTTTATAGAAATCCCTATACACAGTTTGACAAGGTCTCACATTTAAAAGGTGGCAGTGACACCAGACAGCTGCTGGTGTAGGGGCAGTGTTAGCCCAGACCAGTGTTTGGTCAGCTGACCATCAGGTCTGTGTGGCTAAAGTGGGGCCTTCAGTCATTGCAGCCAGGATTGATGTAATCTTCACAATGAGGGGGATTTCACAAAGTGGATACTGAAGAAACGCTGCCCAAGAGAGTGGGTCTGAAAATGCAAAGAGTTTGACAGGGGGTGTGTATTTAACCTGGACAGCAGGTTCAGGCATCAATCTCACAATCCCCTTCCAAAAAGGGGAACGGCCTTGACAACGTTAAGGCAGATTCCTGACGACAGGCACGTCAAACAAAGGTAGATGCAATAGCGTGCTCAAATCACATTTCAACCCTGATTGAAAGAAATGGCACAACAGGCTGAGGCCCAACACTTGCTCACTGTGACACTTGTGTCAGAGTTTACTCAAATCCCCTCAGTTCAAGGCTGGGCTTTTCCATTGAGACCTTACCCATCCACCAGGAGACTCCACTGCACCTCATGGTCAGGGGCTGGCACAGGAGTTGCCCAGCAGTCACGCAATCTCAGGACAATCATCGGGTCAGTGCGATCCTTCACACGAACCTCAACAAACACCGACTCCCGAAGGATTCTCTCAATGGGGTAGTCACTGTCCTTGTACCACAGCCTGTAGTTGCCATCTAACAGAAACAAGGAGAACAAACCAGTCACTCCCTGAAGGAATACATTCCTGGTGCTCTATTACCAGGGCAGCACTACCTTTTGCTATTTGCAGTTCCAGCCTCAGAATCCCATCTTCAGAAGCAGCTGGTGGTGGAGGGAGTGTGTAAACTGAGACGTTGATCTGTAAGCCAGCTTCATGCTCCCCCTTGTACTTGCACTGGACGTGCAGGCTGTCGAGAAACACAAATAGGTAGTGGAGTTTCAGTCAGTAACCCTTCCCTCTACATACCAACAAAACCCACTGCCCTCTCACCTGAAGGTGCTGTCCCTGGTTATTGAGCCCTGTGGCCCAGTCTGAATCATCCTCTTCCCCAAGATGTCCATTTCATACACAAAGCTTCCGGTCTCCTCCTGCAATGGAGGGCACTGTTTAATAGGGAGTTGGCCCATTCAAAAGGGACAGAATGCCAGACCCTCCAATACTCACCCGCTGGGTCGAGCCACAAGAGGTAATTGGGAAGCGGAAGGCTGCAAGTTCCTCTGTGATGAGCTTAGGCCTGCACTCAGCTTCTCGTCCATCTTTCACGTACAGAGATGACAGGTTGAGGGCAGGACGGGTCAGATTCCTGGTGATCGCTAGAATGAACTGGCCATCTGCTGTACACACTGCAAAGAGAGAGAAAGAAAAAGTATTCAGTTTCCCCATTGGTTGTTGTGGCCTGCAATCATTGACAGAGAGAGACCAAGATTGAAAGACCAAAAGCTTCAATAGTTATGCTGCTTGGAATCTGGTCTACATTTTGGTAAAAATTTCTAATGGAGATAAAGAATGTTAAGGCAGATCATTAGCCTTTTGGTGTCAGGCCATGTGACCATTTAAGAGAGGCTGGAGAGAGAGTGTTCTGCAAGACTGAAACATTTGGTGTTCAGTTAACCTCGGAACACCATAACCAAGCCTTTTAAGGGAGGAAGGAGAAGCTTAAAAAGCCACAGGAATTCTAAGACCGAAAGACAAAAGCTACAGCAAACATGCTCAAGAGAATGTAAGTTCATATGTATATTCGGGGCAGGATGTGCTTGAATGTCAGTTGCATGGGCACAAGGTCCACATGCTGTAGCAATGTCTGGAACTGACAATGAACAATGTCAGCCTGTCCATCACAGCTCCTAACCCTGGGGCAGATGCACATGCAGCTTATTGGGGAAATGTTCATCGAGGGGCAAGGAAAGAAAGCAGGAATTGTGGAGGATCACCACAATCCTTGTGTGGGGGAGCAGGGTCACAGGGCTGAATGGCCAACCATGCAAAAACTGGGATTTGGGAAATGCACCAGTATGCATCAAGAGAAATCTCCAGGAAAGCTGAGCCATAAAGGAATACAAGGAAAGCTGATCCAGCTACAGACCTCCTGTACCCAACCAGGTCACAGCTGTCGTGTGAACATGGCAATGAGCAAGAGCTTCACTTCTCAGATCTATTCAGCCCACCCAAGGGAAGAAACAGGTCTTCAA